CAGTGTGTGGGGACCTGAGGTTCAGAGAGGCAGGTCCCTTGCCTGAGGCCGTGCAGTGCCCTGGGACCGAGGACTGACCCCCGCCTCCTAGATGCTGGCTCCTGCAGGGCCGAGGAGACTGTGCCCCTCAGAGGGGTGGCCAGGGCAGTGGTCTTGGGCCTCGGTGGGCAGGTGGCACAGAGCGGTCCAGGAACCAGCCCCCTGGAGACGGGACGTGAACCCAGGCAGGCTCTCCTCCCTTAGCTAAGCTGTTAGGTCACGTGGGGAGCGTGTGGTGGGCTTCTCTCCCTGGGGCATTTGCGGGGTGTTCTGGGCATTGAGTTTGCCCCGAGTGCCGCCTTCAGGCCTTCACTTGCCCAGCAGTGCAGCGAGTGCGTGGGGCAGATGTGCCCGCCGAGGGGCACAGAGCCGTCCTTGGCACCTGCGCAGGTGGAGAGCAGCGAGGGGCTGGCTGTGCTGCCCTCTCCCTCACCAGGAGCCACCAGAGACCCTGCCCTGCCTCTCCCTGGCAGCCACGCTGGTTCTGGGGCCCTGGCTCAGCCGGCCATTTTTGCTGACCCTGCAGGAGCTGCTAATTAAGCTAAAAGTTCCCAGGGCTCCCTGACATGGGTTGAGGGGATCAGCCTTGCTGGAGAGACTCGGTGATAAGACGCTCTGCCTGCTTGATGTAATTGTTACTAAACAAACACTGCTCCATTCATTACCTAGCCATCTCTGCCGTCCTGGAGGGGCCGCCGGCGTGCTTATGCCCCAGGCCCGGGCTGCCCCGCCAGACCCCGGAAGCCTGGCTGCAGCGGTATGGATCTGGGGCCTCCCCGGGCCTGGGGGTCCCTCCCACTGTCTGAGGGCTGAAGCCAGGGGCTTCCCCAGTCTGAGCCTAGGGGTCCTGGGGGACCTTGAGGAGCCTGGGGAATAACAGCCTGCAGAAGATAATCGGCACGGGGGTGGTCACATTAAAGCTCCATGTCTTCTGGGGCCCTGTCTGAGTGAGCCTGGGGCCCTGGATGGACCTCTTCCCAGCGAAGGTATGGGGCCCTGCCTGCCCCCAGCTCTGGTTCCCTCAGTGCCCGGTGTCCCCACGGGATCAGCAGGCGGCTGGTCAGGGCCTGACGGGGTGTGACCAGGCCTCCACGAGCAGCTGAGGCCCCTTCCCGAAAGGGTAGCAGCTACTCTCGCTCTGGCTGTCCCCGGGCTCCAGTGAGGACGCCCCTGAGGGCCTGGGGCTTCCCTCCCAGGGCCAGACAGCCCCAGCCATGTGGGAGAGATGCTCCCTGTGGAGTGAAAAGGCCCGGGCAGCGGACGTTTCTGGAGAGCTGGCTGTCCTGCTCTGAGAGATCACCTGTGCCGTTCTGTGGGTGTGCACGCGTGCACGTGCATGTGTGAGTGTGAGGGCCTTTTGGGCCCCATCGTCCCTAGGAGCTCCTCGCAACCCCAGTGCTGTCCTGGACCTCCTTGCCCCCCAGGTGCTGCCCAGGTTTGGGGGTCCTGGGCCGCATTCAGGGTTCCACCTGGGGTGGCTGGGTGACCTCAGGAACGTCCCTTCCCCTCGTGGGCCAGGCGGGCATCTGTCCCCCAGCTGCCCCACCGTCTCCCGTAGCCTCATGGTTCAGAAGCGGGAGGGGGCCAGGGGGGAGGCTGAGTCGGGAGGCCCCTCCTCCCAGCACCTGAAGCCTTGCCTATGTCACCTGCACTCAGCCACACACATACACGTGGGTGTGCATGCATGCACGCACACACATGTGCATGTAAATCGTGCCAGACCCCTGACAGGTGGGTAAGCTGGGAGTCAGCTGTGCCACATGTGCCAGGCAGGGTCCTTTTCCCTCTCAAGTGTCGGAGCCTCCCTGGGCTGAAGATGTGGTGGGGTGCTGGGCACGTGGTGGGGGGCACCTCGTGGCTGGACTCCCTGCGACACAGCCTGGGTCTGGCCCTTGGTCTCCTGACGAGGGGACAGGAAGGAGGACTGCCTGTCCTCAGCAGGGGATGTCTTCAGGAGCCTCAGAGGGCCACGTGGGGTGACGGGTTTGTATGTCCTCACACCTTGAACCCTGGCTTCACTGCCGCCTGACGGAGCCCACTCTGTCCCCTGCAGGCTGCCCTGTGGCCGGCTGCTCCCACTGCCTGGAGCACCAGGCCCCCTGCGCCCTGGCCGGCTCCTCTGGCGTCCGGTTCTCCATGAGGCCTCTCTGGGCCCCCAGAACCACCCTGGGCCTCCCTGCCTCTCCACCCCTCCTCATTCCCTTCCTTATTTGCATACGGGTTCACCCTCTGTCTCGCCCAGTGGGCTCTCTGCCGTGTCCCCACATCTGGTGTGAGAAGGCAGGCCAGTCTGTGTCTGAGGAAGGGCATGTGGTCACCCTTCCTTTGAAATTTAGCGTCTCTGTTCGTGCGGCCTGGCTGTGCGGAGCCTTTTGGGATTTCGGAGCACCGGTTGCAGTGTGATGGCCGAGTCGTCCTCCTTCGTCACCCCGAGCTGTCCCCAGCGGTCGGCTGGGCATTGTGCTGGACTCCTGTGTGGGGGTACTTGGACAGGAGTGTGGCCCCTGAGAGCCTGTGGTGTGGTAGAGCCCCAGGTGAGGCTGCAGGGTGGCTGGGGCCTGGGGGCCTTGAGCGCAGCAGTGGAGCTTGGACCATGGAGGGGTGGGCCCGAAGGGGCCCTGATGACCGTGGGCCACACGTGCTAGGGGAGGTGGCGGCTGGGTGGCTGGCCGAGGGGGTGCCATAGTCACGGAGGGTGGCAGTGGCCGGTGCAGTGTCCCCTCTGCTAGCTCATTTGGGATGACTCCCAAGGGCCTGGGGTGAGGCTGCGTCAAGGGGACTTGGGGGTGCCCATGCCGGGAAACTTGGCTCCAGGAGCTGGGTGGGGTGGGTGGTTAGCGCTGGGGCTGCCGGGCGGGCTCTGGGGTCGGCGGGTGGTAGGGCCCTGGACAAGTAGGCAGACAGTTCCTATTCCCAGGGATTTGCCTCTAACACTGACCTGCCACCCGACCAGACCCCCACCCCAGCTAGAACTCTCCCCCACTGCTGGTCCCATGGAGGCAGCGGGGTGTAGGGTCCAGAGTGGGGTCCCAGCTGCCCTGCTCCTTCAGGTGAGGCCTTGGCTGAATCCCTTGTCCTCACGAGGCCTCCGTTTCCCCTTCTGTGGGGTGGGACTGCCCTGAGAGCGCAGCGGGACCATGTTCCTGGAGCACGGGGTCCCCTCGAGCTGCCCTCGGCCCCGCTCTTGTTTTTGCTTCAAGTTGAACAAAGGCATGTTGGCTGCAGGCTGGCTCCGGGCTCTCCGGGCCGTGCAGTCGGGCACACGTGCGCTCAGTTTGAGCGGCCGCCGTGTGAACGGTGAGGTGAGCACACGCCTCCAGGGTGCTCCAGGCCGCCAGGCTGTGGGCGAGGTCCACAGAGAATCTTGTCCCCGATTCATGGCTGTGGCACGCAGGCCTGGAGCAGAGCTGGGTGGCTGATTTTAGGCCCGGTACCCCCTGGCTCACTGGGCCTGCCGCCTGGCCCTGGGGTGTGGGTAACAGGCTTTGGGGGTGGCCTTTGCGCCTTTGAAATGATCCGATCCCTGTCTCTGCGTGTCCCTGAGAACAGGATGTCACCCAAACTGGGGGACGGCAAGGGGAGCTACGAGTGCTGTTTCCAAGGCCGGTGTCCCCCGCTGCGTGGCGTGGCGTGGCGTGGCATGGTGTGGCATGGCGTGGCGGGCGGGCGGGCCGACGGGAGGGCCGTGGCCCTTTCCCGGGTGCTGCAGCGTGTCGAAACCAGTAGCTGACGCAGCTAGCAGTGTTGAAATCCAAGTGCTCGTGGGTTTCCCAACATCCTGCCAGCCCGTCATAGGACCCAGGGTTAGGAGCCGGGGTGCCAGGCCCAGCCTAGACCTCCCTCTCCGGGTGCCCAGCTCCCCGCTTCCTCTCTGGGGAGATGAGGAGAGGCCACTGTCCGCCGACTGCTGTCCAGGCTGATGGCGGTGGTCATGGCATTAGGACAGGGTGACATGACCCTGGGCCCACGTAGTCCTCGTGACCTGCCCATTTTACGTAGATCACTGGGCTTTGGCGTGTGTGGGGCAGGATTCGAACCCAGAGCTTGGGGTCTGTGCCTTCGCTGCCCTCAGGGCAGGAAGGAGCAGGGAGTTCGGGAAGGGAGGAGCGCAGGCAGGCCAGGGGCATGGCGCGGTGAGCGTGTGTCAGTCTGGTGGCAGACGGTGCAGCCAAGGGCCCCAGCCCCTGCGCCCTCTGACAGATGCCCTGGCTGGGCGTGGGCCCCTTTCTGGGCTGACCCCCTGGCGAGGAGACCGTGGGAAGTGGGGAACCTGAGGCAGCACCGGGGGGCGTTCCTCTCCCTTTGCCTCGAGCAGGGCCTGGTGCCTGGACCGCCCTGCAAGAGGACAGACGGCCACCAAGGCTGCAGCCACCCATCTTCCACTGTGCTCCAGGCACCCGACCTCGGGGGGCGTGAGGAGTCTTCCTGTAACTCCTGGGGTTCGCGTCCTGATGGTTGGTGTTCAGAGGGGGAAACAGGTTAGAGAGCCGACTGACCTGCTGGGGTCACATAGCCCGTGGGTGGCTGGACGGTGAAGGCTGCTGTCCCTGGGATTCTTCCGGGTCAGCCTGGCGGGGGGGGGGGGGCACAGTACAGCAGGAGAGTCCTCTCTTGGGGGCGCATCCAGCTCTGCTGTCCTGAACGGGGCCACCTTGGACAAGTGGCCCAGGATCCCCAAGGGGACTGCCAGCCTGGGCCTGGAGCTGGTTGAGAACGCTTCCGGTATCTGGTTGTGTGGGTGAAGGGGAGCACAGGACAGGGCCCGCACGACAGCAAGGCCTCCTGCTGCAGGGGGTGCTGGGCTTCTAGGAACCTGTGGTCAGGCCTCGCCCTGGCTGTGGCGTCTGCCTGTCGCTTGTCAGCAGGGGAGGGGCCCTGGAGACTGTTTCTTATGGAGGAGGAAGCAGGTGCCCAGAGAGGATGAGGGGCCGGGCCTGGGCCACACAGCGAGGCAGCCGCCAAGCCAGGGGCCGTGGAGAAGGGGGCGTCGGGAGACCCGCGCTCTGGTGAGGTGGGATTCTCCGTGGTCGGGGTGGGGAGGATGCTGTGGGTTACACTCGGGCTGGGAGTGACATAGCCGGAAGACCCCTCAGGGGGCTCTTGGTTATTGAGCACCTGCTGTGCGCCCGGGTGCTCCAGCTGCTGCAGGTCCGCGGTGCGCCGGGCACCGTGCTCAGCCCGCCCCACATACGTCCTCACGCAACTGTGTCTGGAGGCTTCATCAGCCCATCTTCCAGATGAGAACATCAGAGCCCAGAGAGGTGATGTTGTTTCCTGTGGCCTTGGGCCACGAGGGGGTGGGGCTGGACTCGGTCCGTGGTCTCAACGCCTCCTGCTGCCAGGGGTCCCCCGCATCTGTCTGCCGCCCTCCCTGCGGTGGTGGCGGGGGTGTTGGTCCCGTCCTCACAGAGTGCGGGGATCATTTTGTTGGGGGGGGATGCAGTAGGAAGCTACTGTGTTGTAGCTGGAGGAAGATGAGTGGTGCCTCTTACAGGAAGCCCTCCCTGATGTCTGCTCCCAGACAGCCTGCCTTTCTTCCTGCTGTGCATCAGTGACTGACAGCTCTGTGGGCTCCTGGAAAAGTCTGTCTGACTCTGGACAGCACGTCCCTGGGCAGGGCCCAGCCTTGTTGATCTGCCTGTTCCTAGCACGGGGGCTGTGGAGGAGCAGTGTCCCGTGAGCGCTGTGACACATGAAGGGAGCTGAAGCCGTTCTGAGGACAGGATTGCTCAGACCCAGCAGGGCTGAGTCAGATGCCTGCAGCCCTGCCCGGCCTGGAGTTGGAGCTGGAGTCGTACAGCCAGGCATGCAGCCCGGGCCTGCTGGCCGTGGGCCACCTGCTACTCACCACCTGTGGGGACAGATGAGGAAAGGCCAGGTTCATCGTCCCTCGTCCACTTCCCCTGCCTCTGCCTGGCCACTCTCTTCATATGTGATGGCATCTCGTTGCTCAGAGAGGTGGTTTAACCGCTGGGCTTGCACAGCTTGTCAGTGCCTTGGGATCTCTTTAAAACTTGGTGCTTGCTTGGCTGGTTCTTAAGGACCACGGCGAATCCTGCAGTCTGCACGGGCTCATTCCTACCTTTCCTGTCTGCACCCTATCCGTGTATTTAGTAGGTCTTTACGCGGCACCTCTGTGTGCCAGGTCCTAGGCTAGGCTCCAGGCCAGGCCCCAGGGATGCCTGATGAACCAGTTGGGGCTCCTACCCTCGGGAGCCCCCAGACTTTCACAGCCTCAGAGAAGCTGGCTTGGGGCCCTCTCGGGGGTATGTGGTAGAAGAGGACCTTCCTCTGGCCGGATCAGGAGGGCATCCCGGAGGAGGTGTTGTTTAAATTGGGTTGGAGTGAGCCAGGAGACACATAGGGGAAGTTTCGGCCCAGGGAACAGCCTGTCCAAGCCTAGAGGCCCGAGAGCTGGTGTGTTCCTGGAAATGACCTGGTTCCCAAGGCAGGGGGTGGAGAGGGGGCCAGCCCGGAGAACAGGGCAAGAGGAGGGCGGGAGGTGGCTGCTGTGGATGTGTTTGGCCTGGGCACCGCAGGAAACCTTCCCGCCTCCAGAATCGCAGTGGCCCCAGGGGTGCTCACTCGGCTGGCATAGTCCGGGTCTGGGAGATGGGGGAGCTTCTTGGAGGGAGACTGGGGGGGGTCCCCTGGGGGGCCTTGGCCTTTCTGGAGCTCTGGGGAGTGCTGGGGATGTTGGTTCTGGGCAGCTGATGGAGGTTCCCACAGGCCCCAGCCCAGAGTAAACCCTGGTTCATGTCCGGGTCAGCCCAGGGACCATTGGGGTGGGCCGGTGTTCCAGTTCGCCAAGTGGCCTCTCGTCGAGGTCGGGCCTCTCAACCCTCAACCTACAGCCGAGTAGACGGGTGGATGGGTGGGGGTACTGGGCAGGGAGCTCCTGCCCACCCCCCACCCCCCGGACTCCTTCTAGCTTACCGGGGGCAAGGTTCGAGGGGCTCTGGGGGTGGGCGGAGTTTTGGAGAAAATCAAATCTGCATTGGTGTGGAGGGGGCTTTTTAGGTGGGCGAGTTTTTACAAGGGGTTGACAGGCAGATGCTGAGATTCTGTAACCCCTCCCAAAAAAACCACCCCAAACCAACCACCCTGTAGCTCTGTCATCAAAGCCAAAGAAAGTGAAAGCCAGCCACCACGTCACACTCAGCCCAGGTTGGTCCTCCTGTCATCTTGCTCTGGGGCAGCTTTTTTCTCGAGTGCGGGTAGGTATATCGCTATTTACATTTTAAACAAAAATGGAATACAGATTTTTGGTTTCTGCCAAAATCGGGATCTCCTGGGGCGGCTGGGTGGCTCAGTCAGTTAAGCGTCTGCCTTCGGCTCAGGTCATGATCCCAGGGTCCTGGGATCAAGCGCCGCATCCGGCTCCCTGCTCCGTGGGGAGCCTGCTTCTCCCTCTGCCTCTGTCTCTCTCTCTCTGTCTCTCATGAATAAATAAATAAAATAAAAAATCGGGATCTCCTGTAGGAAGGGACTGCCCTCTTGGGGAGGAAGGAAGAGGCTTGGCCTTTTGGGACTGGCCAGGCCTTCTCATGGCCAGCGGAGGACAGGACCAGAGCACTCTGGGAGAGGACCCAGGGGTCCTGTGCTGGTCAGTGCCCTCCTGCTACCGAGGACATTGCCCGGGGCTGGGGGGGTGGGTGGTAGCGGCTGCTGGGCCCCCGCAGGGCGTGCGTGCATATGTGCTGTGTATGCTGGTGTCTGTCTGGCAGCACTCCCCTGCCTGAGTGGTCTCCACCCCCTGTGGGGCGCAGGTTCCCGCCAGGGCCCCTGATGTCGGTGCCCCTGCTGCCCCGCTCTGCTGCCTCTCCTTCCGCGGCTGCCTCGTCCCCACTCCCCCCTGCACCTTGTGCCCAGGCAGCCTTGGTCTCGCCACCTGGCCTGTCGCTGACCAGCTGTGTGGCCTTGGGCGGGTTGAACTGTGTGTGACGGAGCCTCACTTTCCCTGTCTGTAAGAAGACGGTGATGCATGTAGAGTTTTTTGAAAGACCGTAACAAGATGCGTGTTCTGAATGCCCTGTGCTGGGTCCCATGCGTCAGGGCTATCAGCGGACACTGGCAGTGCCCCTCCCTGGCCGGCATTTACAGTGGCCGTTGGGGCACCTGGCAGGGGCCTTCTGCTATCTGTAGATGCAGGGGCTTTGGGGAGGGACCTGCCCAGCTTCCTGCACCGGAGACCGGGGTTCGAGGAGGCAGGAAGCCCCAGTGAGGGCCAAGGGCCCTGGATTTTGGGAGCCCGCGGAAGGCTGCAGTGGGTGGGTGCAGGATGCACGCACTTCCCTGTGGCTGGCCGGGCGGGTGGGCTGGGCTGAGCTCACCTCCAGGCCACGCCTGGTCTGTGTGTCCTGGCCCCACACCCTCCCTTCCTCCCAGTCACACTCTGCTGCCCTTCCTGACGGGTCAGCAGCAACGCCTGGAAGCCCTGAGACCCCTGGCTGGGGGGTGAGCCTAGTGCGGGGCCGGCAGCGGGAGCAGGGAGCCTAGCTGGGCTTGCTTAGCATCTGGGACCTTGTGGGGGGCAGAACTCCAGGCTCGTTGCTTCCAAGCTCTGGGGCCGGGGGAGCCCTCCCTCTGTTCCTGGGGCCCCTAGGCGGTGTTGGCGGTCCCTGCTCTCGGCCAGTACCATGGGCTGAGCTGGGTACCCCCCAGTCACCCTGTGCCATCTCCTAGTGCAGGGGTGGTGGCCCAAGTTCCTGACCACGTGACCGAGGAGCCCGCTTGCTTCGGGGCTGTCCGTCCGGGGCGGGGGCAGCCGAGCGGGGTCCCTGTTGTGCAGCCCCCTTGGTGGGAGGCCCCTGCGTGGAATTGCCCCATGCTTCGAGGCAGATTGTGCTGGCCATAAATGGTGTCTTCTGCTTGTGTGCAGCTCTGTGGACCTTTGCCCAGGGGACCCCACGTGGCTCCATCAACCCCATCACCTCTGTTTTGACGTCTGTCACTCTGTCTCTCTGGCTCTTCTTGGGCTTCATGTCAAGGGTCACTCGAGTGGCCCGTCCTTCCTGAAGCCTTGCCTGCGTGGTGCGTGAGTGTTTTGGTGATGAAGCAGGCCCGTGCCTGGTGAGGCCCACGGGGTGCTGGCTTGGTCACCCAGGGTCCAGTTGCCACCGCCTTCTCCAGCACAGGTGTCCGTGGGAGCATGGGGTGGTGGGGAGTCTGCCCCCAAGGTCATCACCATGAGACGAAGCAGGGTCTCGCATGGCCCGGTCTCCCACTCTTGGATTTGGGGGAGCGGGCAGTGCCCTGTTCTGAGGATTTAGAGTTTCTGTTTGGGGCTCGGCTTCCTCCCTTCTTTCTGCTCCCGTGTGGTGTGTTGTGTCGGTCATGGCCTCATATCTGGGGAGGCGACGGGGCACTGAGCGCGGCCCCCGGGGGCTGGGGCAGTGCCAGGGTGGCCGGGCTGGTGTGTTGTGCTACTGCCTTTGGGCATTAGGGGCACGCTCGGCTGGAAGCAGGCAAGGCCGGGGCAGGGGGCAGGGGGCGAGCATGGGTGAGGAGGGCTGAGCTCCTGGGGGTGCCCGGCCACCACGGGTGATGCCATGTGATGGTTGTGCACAGGGCCCTGCACCAGGACGCTGGCCCCAGGGTCGCCCCCACCCCCCGCTGTAACTCTTGCCGCCCCCCCCCCCCCAGGCGGGTGGCACTGTCCTATCTCCTCAAGGTGGAGAAGGAAAAGGGAGCCTGCCCTTGGGGCATCTGTGGTCCTGAGGGAAATGAGGATACTTGTTGGTTTGTTTGCTCGGAGCCAGGCTCAGGGCGCCTTCCCTGTCCCCGTGGAGCCCCTTCTGGGAGGGTGGCAGATGCTCTGTCCGCCGCCCCTCCAGCTCCGGGCTGTGGTTCACCAAGTTCGGCGGACAACTCCGTCACAGCCAGGGAGCGGGGGCCTCTGACCCCCACGTGCTTGCCCTGCCCAGCTGCTCCGCGCAGAGTTGGGGTTTGCTGAGGGAGGTTGGTTCTCTGTACACCAAGGGCTCTTGATCCCAGAGGTGCCCCA